GGGATCTCCAGCCCCAGCTCCGCCATCAGCAGCCGCATGACCTCGTCGCAGCGGCCGTGCAGCTTCCGGGCGGCCAGGGCATCCTTCGGGGTCCACTGCAGGAGCGACACCAGACCCGCGGCTGCAGGCATCTCCCCACGGGGCAGGTGGGGCTCCCTGCCCGGGATCCGGCCCGCGCTCGGGGCCCTGCACGCGCGTGGGCAGACAGGCTCACCGCACACTAGCGTCCACTTGGCCCAAACCCTTCAAACACAGTGCAAAAGGCTCTCACCTGCAGGTTCACGATGTATAGCTTTGGACGACGAGTGGGGGGCTTGCTCATGCACCAAAGACGTGGGTATTTTTTCAAAACCTGCCACAAAAATAGAGATTATCAGTACAGCCAAAGGCACGCGTAATTGTGAACCGTATCAGCGAGAGGAAAAGGAATGTATTACCAGGAGGGGAAAGAGGGAGGAAGAGAGACTATCACAGATGGTGGGCGAATCCTGACACCAGAGTTTACAGTTGTCTGTTTGGGAGGAGACTGCTCAGCACCAAGGTGTATCACCAAGAGGGAATGCTGCTAACAATCTTCACCGAGTCTCTAAAGTTACCTTTAAGCTGGAACCCAGACAAAGAATCACATCTGCTTTGCTTGCAGCTTCTGTTGCTGCTTCCCAGTTCAGGGGCTGTCTCAACGTCCCCTTCTCCCCAAAGTGGACGATTGTATCTCTCAACTGTGCCCCACACTTGTGGCACGTCCTGCCAGTGTGATGCCTGTGCAGGGCTGTGCGCTCTGTCACATCAAATACTCGCACGTACTCTCTGTTGGGTGTACAGGAAGTGCAGACCTGGTGCAGGACGAAAGCAAAAAACCTGTTACGTCATTAGCATCTAGCCCGTGAAGCGCCAGGAGCCAAGCACTTCTCTCAGAAGAGAAGCACTTTTCGGGGACAATAAATTGGAAGCAGTAGAAGGGATCATCAGGGATCCGATGCTAACTTGGAAAAGTTTGGAAAACCTCAACTAGCAAGTGGAATTACAGGGAGCCTGTTGGCTATGCGAGAGGAGGGATTATCAGAGAAGGTCTGAGGAAGAATAGTCAGAAGCAGAAGGCTCTAGCAAGTACAGAGAAAAAACTACTGAGTTGTACAGAAGACTTTGTTTTGGTGCTTGCTGACTAGCTCACCCCAAACCCGATGGGCCTGAAGATATGAACTAAGCAGAGGCTAGCCCTTGTACTAACTCTTCTTGAGCTAGTGAGAGATAAATAGCTTACTTATCTTCTTGTGAGGCCAGTAGACAGTAACTTTATCCTGTTCTGGCCACTCACCTCTATGTACATGTTTCCATGAAGCTCAGATATTGCTGTTCGGGGTAAGCCACTCCGCAGGTGCAGCCCATCACAGTTTTGAGACACCACATGCTGCACCTTGAAGAGAATAAAACACTGAGCTAACACACATGCAGAAGACTCTGGAAGTATTACTCAAAGGCAGGTGACGCGTATGTCTCAACGTACACCAAACGGCCCCATACGTCAGAGCAGAACTAACAGAAGAAAAGCGTGGAGAACGGACCGTTATGAAAGCTAAATGA